TATGAATATACATATATACCTGCACACATAAATATCATTGTATAACATTTGTCAGGTTGTTTTAAAAAGAAAAAAGAAAAAGGTCAAAACTCTCCGTAACCAGATAAACACTGCTGACATTTTTTTTTTTTTTTTTGAGAGAGAAGGTAAGAGGTACAGGGAAGAGGGCGCAAGAGAGAGTCCCGTGCAAGCTCCATGCCATGCCCAGCGTGGAGCCCCACACGAGGCTCCATCTCACAACCCTGAGTTCATGACCTGAGCTGAAATCAAGAGTCAGGAGTTTAACCAACTGAGCTACCCAGGCACCCCAACTGTTGACACTCTTAAAACTAAAACACATAAAACATTATACCATCTCAATTAAAGCCATTACATAGAAAAAAATCCTCTCTCTACTCCTCCCACTTGTTTCTGCCAACCCATTTCCCTAAGAGTAACCATTGTTAGGTTTTTGTAATTCTTCTAGGAAAAAAAGTATGTTATAAATGGAGAAATAACACGTAAGTCACATTAGCACAATAACAGCTCATATGTCTGGAGATGATTTCCCTCTGGACCTTCAAGAACAAAGCACTAACAGAAATGCCCCAGTGCAGATGACAAGCAACAAATTGGTAGAATAACAAAAAGAGAGGCCAAATTAACTAGAGTAGGACATAGTAATGATAAGAAAAAACAAACAAACAGAAGAAGAGCTATTACAGGAGTGAGAAGAGACACTGAGAAACCAAAAACTATCCTCGCGAATGACCCTATGTTGGCCACTCTGCTTGATGAGAAATGATGGTCGTGAAGCAAGACAAACAGTTCCATTATGTTCTGTCCCTTTACTTTCAAAAGGCCTCATTCCATTCTTCTGTAATTTTAGGTCACATGTACTATAGCCCGCCTGGCATAGCCCTTATTAGGGGAGCAGGGTGGTACAGTTTTACCCAGTAGGGACTCTGGAGTTGTGTCTGGGTTTGAATTCTGCCCCCATCACTGCCTTGCTGGATGACCTAGGGGAATCACATACCCTCATATCTGGGAAGAGAAAAAATAAAAAATAAAAAAAGAACAGCTGCTTTAAGGCTAGTTATTGAAAGTTACCACAGCACCTGTCCCACAGTAAGGACTCAAGAGTGCTATCTGCTCAGGTGGTAGTGGTGATGATGATGGCCCTATTATGTGTTTTTTTCAAATACCTCTGGGTTTTAGAATCAGATTAGGAAAGAACCAACTCAGCATCTCTATCTTTTCTTTTTTAATAATTACTTCTGATATTCTGTAACTGCATGTTTGCATGTGGGAACATCCAGCAATGCTTAGACTCTCTGGTCAAGCTCTATTCCAGGGACTTCAGATAGTTTGCTTCCATTCACTGTCATATGACACCAAGATCTATATTTTTAATGTGTAAACATCAGTCTTCTTGCTGTCTGTCATTCAAGTCTGTGAAGTAACAAAATATCACCAGAGAGGGGCCAGATATATCTCATTTTCTCCTGAAGCATTGAGAAAAGTCAAGGTGATCCCCTTTCTGTGGTCACAGCACTGGATTTGCCAGGCCTTTGTCTTTGGGCGTCCCGTGTCCAACTCCTCCAGCTGGTCTCAGATTTACAGGGGTTCTACCCGTCTATTTAGGAATATGCCCCAGCCCCTCTTCCTATTTCCCATCGAGTTAAATAAGAAAATCACAAAAATATTATTCATGACGCTCCATTAATATTTCCTCCCCTACCCCCTTTCCTCCCTCCCAGCCACTCTGTGGTGAAGGCTCTCCATGATGCCTTTGAAGCCCATTCAGTCAGCTTGGGCTTGTGACAAATAGCCTCCACTGACATGTAGCACATGGGACACAAAACTTTTATTGAATGTTTCAGAGAGGAAAATAAAATGAAGGAAAGATTTAATAGACCTAGACACACCCATATTTAGTCCAGATAGCACCTTTGTGCACTTTAGAGAAAGCTCCTCCTTCTGTACAGATGCAGCTCACACCAGGGCATATGCATCTTAACAAGCAGAGCAGTAGAGGAGGTCCTGGATTCCAGCCATCCCACAAGGCAGTCTTCTGTATGTCATATGTGGCAGTCCTGTGCTTAGAGCTAGCACTAAAGTCTGTGGGAGGTGCAGCCAACGTAAGAATAGTCCTAATGAGAGAGAGTGCTAGCAAATCTGCAACCTGCTATATTTCATGTTAAACTCTCTCTGCTCTAGATTTGGAAGCCACCACTGTGCTAGTAATGGTTCATGTCTACTGTATACTTAGCATATTGTCTCATATGCTCAGCCACACTGAGCCTTTTATGCACGTCACCCACTTGGGATGCAAAGCATGTATGAGGTAGATGTCTCATGTATAGATGGTCAGTGAATTGTTCAAGGCCCCACAACTAGATATCCACTAGGCTTAGCCTGAAGCTTAGGTGCAGCAGAGCCAGCAGGTACTGGTTTGAGGAATTCTGCTTTGTAAACATCTCTGAAATCTATCACATGATGGTCCTTCAGTTAAGCCCTTATAATCTCTTGTATGGGCAGGTACAGGAGATGCCTGACTCAACCAAGCTCCTATAATCCTCATGATACTTTCCTCCTTAAAATCTGTAGTATCTCCCATCAACTACAGACAAGAGCAAGTCCAGACAGACCCCTTAGCATGACAACAAAGTGCTCTTTGTGATCTCCCTGGCCCTATTTAGATCCTCATCTTCCCTTTTTTTCTCCCTCCTCCAAGGACTGGATGACCAAGAGGGAAAATAAGCTCACATTTAGGGTGCCAGCAACTTTCAGAAAGAATTTATTTGATTCTCTCCATCCCCGGAAAGCCATTAAAATAATCATCAAATGAAAAAGAAGCATTCTGTTGGACTTAAGCTTATTTTACACTAGTATTGGTGTCATTTTCAAGTACATATGGATGGCAGGAAGCTCGAAGGGATTCAGTTAGGCTCTGATAGAGCTAGATGTTCCCAGTAGCATTTACCAATTGCCTTGATAAATGCTGCATTCTCTGCCAAAAATGACCCTTCCTGAGCTGCCACCACCACTACCACCACCACCACCTGCTCTTCAGGTTTTAAGATGGGGCACACACCTCTCATTGCCTAAAACAAGATCAGATATTCCCCTTTTTGTGCTTCCAGAATACTGTTGTTGACATTTCTTGTTTGTATCACCTGGGATTTTAGGTTAGTTAGTATACATACAAGTCTCTATTTCCCTTGGACTGCTATTTTAGGAGCTTTTTAAAAGTTCCTGTTGTGGTCATCCCTCATCATTAGTGCTGGACAGAGTTTCTGTAGGCATTTCATAAGATCCATCTGCATGAGGCTTGTTCCCTGGTGTTTGGTTATGAATGAAAGAATATGTGCATGCCTGAGGTGGCCAAAGTATTTTATCTTTATTTAGTATATTTTAAAATGCCTGCAATCTAAAATAATTCTAAATAATTGTCATGAGTCAGAATTTCTGAGAAATAAACTAAGACAAAGACTTCTGGGTCTGTTGGGGAAGGAAGCTGTTGGGGGTGGGCGTGTGCCATCAAGGTCAGCTTCTGGGGAATGAAAGGAGTAGCGTTGAGCTGAAGGAGGAGTTGAACTGCTTTGCAGTGGCTGCTGGAACCTCTGGGGCTGGGATGGCCCTTCAGAGTCATCCACCTTGGGGCAGGAAAGCCAGCCTTTATCTTCTGCCATTCCCAACCAGTCACTAGTTGGGGCTAATCCCTGGGGAAAGGACGACCTTAGAGCAGATCTCTTCAGTTGAGGGCTGTATGCAGAGAGGAATTTCTAAGAACCGTCATCAGTCAACAGTCCCAGTGGCTGGGAGACTAAATGTCTTTGTCCAGAAGGGGGGACTTGGACAGGGCACCACAACAATATATTTAAGAATGTGCCTCTGAAAGCAGGTTTTAAGTTTTCATTTCTTTTAACAAAAGAAGTGATTGATGTTTTCTTATCAGTTAAAAGCTTGAAAAGGTTTGTAGAGAGCTTCAGAACCTCTGTACAGCTTCTGGGCTACAAGCTTGTTGAGAATACTGACTCCTTACCCTGGGAACTGTCTAGGTGAAGCCTGGGTAATGGAATGTTTCATTCACTTGCCCAGTGTGCCACACCAGTGTTGTCCTGTTCTCTGTGTGTGAGGCCTGAAAAGGGCAGGAAAGTCTGATAGTCCTTCTGTCTTAAGGCAAAACTGTTTCTGGTCCCTAGGCTCTTCCTTTCGATTTCCAGAAATACTCCATCATCCCATTTGGGGACATGTTCTGGTGACTCCATTTTCTTAAGGTCAAAATGTTTGTGTTCCCAAAAGGAACAAAAATGTTAGTAAGCTAATTTCTGTATTGATAAGTACTTTATCAATACTGCCACTAATTTGGGACTTGATAATTCAGAGATAGATTCTAACAGGAGCTGACTTAGTTTCATCTCTGAAAAGGTCTTCTGCTAGGCAGAGTAATAGATGCAGGGATCACAGATGCACCCACTCTGATATAAGAACCAGCCTAGAAAGAGGAAGGCCCTGTGAGTCAGCCCCTTGTCCCATTTTTACAGATGCTTCTACCATAAGCTGCAGGAGCTATATATCTGTTCTGCAGTTAATAAAAGGGAAAGCTCTCTTTTGAAAAATTGCTGAAGGACTTAGGTTTTTTTCAATACTAATGTAATATATAGTATAATAGTTTCTACATACAGTCCCTAAGGATGATTCCTTTAGTGAGGGAAAATCCCTTTATCTAACCTGTGATTTCTAAAAAATCAAACCTTTAGTTTTTTTATATGTGTGCAACACTCGGACTATTGTAGCATAAATTACATGTGAAAATGCATAGGGGCACTTCATTGTTTTAAAAACTTGGCAGCTATTCTGATACATAAAAATGCTTGCATTTAATAACTCCACAGTGTCCCTATGTTGATGTGAACAAAGAAGTATAATAATTGATCCTTTATTAAAGACAGTGAATAAAGTAGCTGAGTGAAAAAATCCAGTGTTTCATTATTGCCTCTTACTTTTTCTTACAGGACAAAGTTCTAAAACTATCAGTTCCTCCCCAAGCACTGAAAGTTTGCCTGGAGGAAGAGAATTCACTGGCTCCCCACCTTCATCTGCTACTAAAAAGGATTCCTTCTTCAGCAACATCTCCCGTTCCCGCTCACACAGCAAAACTATGGGCAGAAAAGAATCTGTAAGTATATAAGGACACTTTTTCTTTCATCCTTCAGTTTCCCCTAGCGTGCTGCATTTGTTAAAACTTCTTCGGTACTGGGTTTTGTAAAGCTCTTAATTGGTCTATAAACTAAAGCAAAGAATTTCATCAAAATATTTTAATTTTATTATTCTAACTTAGTGATATTTTAAGGCCACAGTCTGCATCATACTGGGGGAAAAAAGCAGCATCAGTTTAAAATATGTCGAAAACCAAATCTTAGTCCTTTTGTCTCTGCAAATGCTATTCTGTCAAAGTCTGTGTTATTATTATTTTTTAATGTAACAAGTAGTGTTATCAAAGAATAGGTTAAGACACTTATAAAACAAAGCAAGGTGTATTTTCAGTTTTATTTCATGAAAAGTAAAAATAATTACTTTACCACTTGTTTTAAAGTTATACAAATTACACTTAAATGATGATAAATTGATAGCTACTCTCTAAGATCCTCTGTGTACATTGTTCAGAAAACTATACATAAAGCATATCAACCACTTTAAAAATCTGGTTGTGTCTAAAATTGTTTTTAAGCCAACTTCACAAAAAATAAAACATTTAGTAACCACATCTTAGAGGTAATTCAACATCTAATATTCTAGTATGAAGAATCCATCTGCCCACTGGAAGAAGATGCACATATAACAGGAAAGGATCTAGCTATTACTGAAACAGTTCTAAATTAGAAACAACATCCCTGGGTGGCTCAGTGGTTTAGCGTTTGCCTTTGGCCCAGGGCGTGATCCTGGAGTCCTGGGATCAAGTCCCATGTCAGGCTCCCTGCATGGAGCCTGCTTCTCCCTCTGCCTGTGTCGCTGCCTCTCTCTCTCTGTCTCTGTATCTCTCATGATTGAATAAAAAAAAAATTTTTTTTAAAGAAAAAACTTTTAAATGCTGTCAGCAGTAGGTAAAAACTAAGAAATAACTTGACTTAGATTGTAAAGTCCTCTAGAAGTTCAGGAACTATAAAGGAGTGAAGTTGGAACTTGCTCTTCAGGAAATAGAAGGATGGGTGAAATAAGTGATTGGGTCAAGGAGGGCACTTGTCTTGATGAGTCCCGGGTAATGTATGGAACTGAAACTGCTGAATTGTACACCTGAAACTAATATAACACTGTATATTAACTGTATTAGAATTAAAACAAAATAAAAAAAAGGAAGCAATTAGATTCCCTTTCCCACTCTGGCAGCACTCTGGAAAGTGTAAAACAGAATGTCTCTGGACAGAGAGGTCAGGTACATTTTAGTACACCTTACTGGAAAAAGAATGATGAGTATATTTAAATACTAAATCTGAGATCCCCAAGTCTCACCACACTTGCTTCCCAGAATACCAGTATATATATCCTCTCAGGAAGGAGATGAGAAGAATTTTCTTCACACAAAAGTTATAAATTTTTGTAACAGTCCTACAAATATACTGACCTTAGGGGTTCTCCAGGGAAACAGCTGGTTCACTTTACAGTGAGCCCAACCTTCATAGCTCTGTCCAAACACAGACCTTTCACTTAGTTTTTAGTTCACACTACTTTACATGAGCAAGACAGCCAGGGATCACCAGATAGTTGAAGAAAGCATCCGTTAGTTAAAGACCAGCAAAAGCAAATAGAAAAAAGTAACTGGAAGAAAACAGTTTATGCAGGTGAAGAACACTTTAGAAAAAAAAATAATAACAACAAAAGCTATTAGAAATCCAAATATGATATTTAAAATGTAAAGCTCAATAGAAGAGTTTGGAATTGATAAAATTGAGGAACTCTCCCAAGAGAACAGAATACAAGACAGAAATGGAAAGTAAGATAGAAAAATGGAAGAAAATTAGAGAACAAACCTAAGAGGTTCAAAACTTGAAAAACAGAAATTCTAGAAAGAAAACAGAAAATGAAAGGAGATAATAAAAAATACAATTAATTAAATGTTCCACTAATGAAAGGCCTGAGTTTTCAGATCAAAAAAGTCCATAGAAAGGCCCACACAAACAAAAATAAACCCACACCCAGATACATCACTGAAAAAGGTCAGAACTCTGAGAACAAAGAGATATCCTCCAAACTTGTAGTGTTGAGGGAAAAGAAAGATTTCCAACAAAGGATCAGGAATTAAAATAGCTACGAATTTCTCATAGGAGCACCAGAAGCAAGGCAGTTTGAGAAATACCTTTAAAGTTCTAAGAGAAAATTACTTTCAGCCTCAATTCAATACCTAGCCAAAGTAATTTAGTGTGAGGTTAGATATTCACGATTCAGATATCCACTTTGAGATATTCACGATTCAAATAACTTACTCCCATTCTTAGAATCTTCTGGAGGATGTGATCTATAAAAACGAGGACATCACTGAGGATGGGGAAAACCTGAGAAAAAGGAAATAAAGCATCCAGAGCAAGACAAAAAGATTCCTCAGAATGATAACACAGGGAGATCCCAACACTAAGCAGAGTACAGCTAATTTAACAGGTCCAGAGAGCAGCAGCCAACTCAAGTTGGAGCAAGTCAGAAGGTTCTACAAAGTTTTCTCCAAAAAGATGCCATTTGGGGAAGAACTATTTGAACAAGTTAAGAGATTTAAACTAGGAGAAAGTTGGGGTTTGAATTAATGTTAATTTTATTAACAACTAAGCCATTAAAACACAGGATGATTTGTAACTCCAAAGGAAAACGGTGTCAGAAAAAGAAAAAAAAAGGTTATGATAAGCCTTGTAACTGAGCCATGACTAGAATTTACATAGACATTATACTGAAAGCCTATTGGCTATTAATCTACTCAGAATCATGGGGACGACACCTGGGTGGTTCAAGTTGAGTATCTGACTCTTGGTTTTGTCTTGGTTTTGGCTCAGGTCATCATCTCTCTGTTGTGTTGAACAGAGCCTGCTTCAGATTCATAGTCTCTCTCATTCTCTCTCTCTCTCTCTCTCTCTCTCTCTCTCTCTCTCTCTCAAATAAATAAATGAATAAATAAAATCTTTTAAAGTATGATAAAATTCTGTAGAGAAGATGGGGTGTGGGAACTGTGTCTTTGCATGGGGGAGGGTAGTGAGCAGGTGGTATGGTCAGTATAAGTGTGTAATACTCTAGAAAAAATCAAGAGATAGCAATATAAGCTAGAGATATTGAGACAAAAAATGGGTAAAAGAATTGAAAGGAGTTCTGTCTGGAGAGCAGGAAGTAGAGGGTGGGGCTGTGTGAACCGTTTTTCATAACAGGCCTTATAGGACCATTTGACTCTTCAAAGTGTTATATATATAACTTAGATTAAAAATAATAACTAAAAATCACAACAAAACCAGAATGTATTGGCATAATAAATTAGAAGAGATATCTGCCTATACAAAGAACATGTCTCTGAAGAACCAGAATAAGGAATAACAAATGAAAAAGGCATATGGAGACATGTTTCATTTGCATTCTATCATATTTTGGTGGCATATGGATTAGTCTACAACACCAATTAATTACTTTCTTTATGGTGATAACTGTAACTTAAAACTGAGAAGTCAGACAAAAATAGATATAGAGTAAGTCTAATTCTCTATGTAGACCTGTTATGTACCAAGAAACAGGATGTAAAATTATTATTCAAAATTTAATATATTTTCTAACTGTGGGAAGTAAGTAGGCAGAAGTTTTCGAGAGAAAGCTCCTCATTTTTCAGTAGGTTATCTTATTATTTTATGAAATAAGGTAGTCAGTGCTCTTTGCCAGATAATTCTAGGTCTCCCCCTTTCTAAGGCACTTGGTAGGATCGCACCTTCTTGTCTCCCATGAGCTGTCAGAGTCACATGACCAGTTCTGTCCAGTGAGTTGTAAGGGGAAGTGATACGTATGTATTGCAACTACAAGATATTCCTCATCTCTCTTAACCTCTGTCAACTCATGATAAACATGAAGTATGAGTGAAAAATAACCTTTGTTGATTTATGCTGAGATTGTTGCTTATCATAGCCTAATGGTACACTGTTGGAAAATGTTCAGGCCCGTAGCTAGGAACCATTCTCCAGTGGGAGCCACATACCACCGCTGCCCCTGCCCACTCTCCTGGCACTAGAGCCCATTACTGGGCACCTCCCATCTCTATGCCTAGTTTACTTTCATTTGGGTATGACACAGGGATATTCCATGTCTTCAAAAAAGTTCAAAATTGTTTTTCATTAATATCATCATTATGAGTTTCTCACATAAGCAAGTAGCCAGAAATTAAAGGAAAGATACCTCTCTCTTTGGATCCCCAGTGCCTTAAGCTATATGTACCTTACAGATTTCAAGACTCCATTATCTGTTAAAATGGTCCAAGATCAAGAAATTGTTGATATCAGTTAGCAAAAGGTTAAAATAGCAGTTGAAAACAGACATTAAAACAAAATAATCTAGTACTAGTTATCAACCTAAGTGTGGTGAAATCTGCTTACAGTGGTTCAAGTGTCATTATTGAGAAATGATTCTCAAAATCAATCTGTGTGACATATTTTGGACAAGCATCATATATAAAGTCATAGAACCTATTTCTTCTCAGTATCGTTTTTTAATGTACTATACAAAGCCTTTCTGTAATCCACAGACTATCTCCTTTAGACGAAGATATATCACATTTACTCCTGCCAATGCCCGATTTGGCCATATAATAGAATACAAAACTCAGCTAAGTCTTTAAAAGAGGTAACGAATTAAGCTTTGTGCCATATATTTGTGAAAGACACCATTCTACTTCCTATCTGAAATATGAGCAAACTAGTGAGAAGTTTTAAAAATTGACCTTTACGTCATTTTCTGTAGTAGTGTTGTTGTGAGGGTTTGTATTTATTCACAAAGACAATTTTCCCTCTACTTTGTTTCCCAAAAGAGCCTTTAGGTCTTACCTAATTCAGACCCTGGTTTAATCAAGCTCTCACTTTTTAATCTTGAAAACAAAATTGAGAATTTTGATACTTTTAATTTTCCATACTTTATTTTTCATGATAATGTAAGTGACATCCAGCACTTAGT